CTATATTGCAAAAGTATGAACTTTAGCTAAGCTGTTATGATGAAAATGAGGCTACGTATATGCTATTGTGATGTCGGGAATGTGATGTATCATTGCAATAGTATGCTGCTATTGGTCTGATGTTCTTGTCTTCAGTTAAATTTTCAAATAAGAATATTTCATTGAAATTTGCTGTGAGCAAGAGGTGGCTTTTTCATAGAATTTGTTATTTAATTTAGCTATATGTTTGTCTATTGCATCTATTTTGAGGTCATGGTGTATTGTATCATTTCTTACGAACCATCTGGCTTTTGCTATCCTTCTTAATATTTTATTCTGGCAGACTATTAATTTATTTAGCTGAGTTTGTGTCATATTTGTCAAGACTGGTGAAGCATATGTAAGGATTGGGCGGAACTGGTGTGTATATGCCGTAAGGCTTTACACACCGTACCTTAAATCTGTCGGAGCCGAAAGCCCTCTCATTGGTTATTGTGTAGAAGTTTGAGAAAAGGCGCATACCTGTGTGATTCATCCCTACCTTCTGTGTGTTTGCGTCATATACACATTGTTAACTGTTGCTGATTTGTTGAAGTAAGTATTTTGAATATTTTTAAATAGTGTTCTTTATTGTATCAATAATTAAAAAAAGTGACAATTTAAAAATTAAACAATTTTATTTTAGGATTTAAGGAAATTTTTTTTTTTAAAGTTAAAATTTCCACTAAATTTAAATGCAAATTTAATTTTATAATTATATAGTGTGATTTTAATTATTTAACTTCAGAATAATAACAATAATGTATGATAATTAAGAAATTACAAAAGGCTAGAGTAAAATGAAAGATGACTAGAGTTAATAAAATAGGCCAGATTGACTAAATTGTTTCATTTAAAAAAAAATAGGAATACATTTAAAATTAAACATTAGCACTTGATAATATAAAATTTATCAAAAAACTTATTGTATAAAGAACAGAAAGACAAAATATCAATAAAAGTTTAGCAACTCAAGTATTATTTCTTAATTAAATATGAAATATTGATTCCAAAATATCAACTGGACACAAAATATACTTTGGAATAAATGGGTGGAAAATGAATGGTAGTTGGATTCGGTAATAAAATTTTATTTAGTATTTCTGTATTTCTAAGTAAATAATGCGTGGAATGACATTATAGAACTCTTGTTCCATGTTTTACTGCTTCACAACAATACAGCAAATTAAGTAAAATTATATTACCGAATTATTCTACTGCCATCCAAATCTTCTCCTTGGTTACTTCAAAAATAAAAGGGAACGCAAGATAATACAGAAAGTACAAAAACTAATATTATATAGCATCAAAACCAATGCAAAATAATGTTATGGCGTACGCTAGATAATATTAGTTTGTATAGAATCTAATGTTATATAATGGCAGAGAAAACCGTGACATTTTGTATCTTCCTAATATTAGAAAGTTGCGCTACATAATGTTAGATTTTACAGATTTTCTGATTTTATATAATATTAGGTGCTACTTGAGAAGCTTTCGCTTAATTAAGCGAATTTTTAAGATATTTGAAGGACATTTGACCTTCTGAGGCAAAGCTCTACTGTAAGCACTTAGCTTCTAAGATTTCGCAAAGAAGTAGCAGAATGTAAAATAATGATCAGCTCTGTGGTATACCCAATTTACAAAGAGGATTGCACTATGCAAATTTATGTGTTCTCGAAACTCCAGATAATCTTCAGTTCCCAAAACACACACACACACACACAAAAAGAAAAAACTCTGAGAAAAACTTTTTTTACTTGTAAAAAAAAAAAACATGCTTGATAGTTGCTTATAAACATGCTTATAAACAACAAATCTTGAAAATTTCAAAATTTCATCAAAATAAAAAACTTCAAGTGTCAATTGGTTTAGGATGGTGTTTTCTACACTAGGGAACGCTGCAAGCTCGGTACCGCCTAAATTTCCGGGTTACTGTTCCCATTGTATTTTAAAGTCATTTGGCATCATTGTGTTTTGAGATTCTTGCAAACAATGTATTTGATTACTTATTACTTGTGTTAACAATGCTAACAATACTGGTGTTTACAATGCTAACAATACTGGTGTTTACAATGCTAAAAGTGTTAACACTAACGTAAGATGGTGCAGAGCTTGCAACAAGAACAAACAGTAATAAAC